ACACATCGTGTCTCACGGGTCTATATGGTACTTAAGTGTTTCATTGAAATCATTGACAATAGGTCTAAAAATTCATTAATGACAAAAGCATCCACTAATTGTGTTTTGTGTCTCAAAAATTGAAGACCGGAAGTCGGAAGATAAAGCAGTAATGCCAGAGATGAATCTCCCATAAAAAAGTACTTGATGATGGAAGTTGCCACAACCGCTGAATGAAAGGAAGCTTGTGAAATCATGGGATGGGTTATTGAGTTACCATCTAGTAATCGTAGTATTATAATTTGGGCTTCGGTTAAAATTTAGAATCTGGCCCATAATTTAACAAGTCTAAATGCCCAATAATGTCCAAAATTAGATACTCTAACCTTGTGTTTGGATGAAGAGATTTTGGAGAGAAAGAAGAGAATAACTATGCAAATTCTCGTGTTTGTTTGCAATAGAAAAGGGTGAGGGGAGAGAAAAAGGGAGAGGAAGGGAAGTGAAAAACTTTCTCCTCCATTTAGGGGTGAAAATAGGATTGGGGAGAGAAAACATACAATATGAAATTACAACTTTGCCTTTTATTTTTTTATTAGTGTAATACATAAACCTAAAATGTCTTTTTACATTATCAATTTTTCTTTCCTCTAACTTTTTCTCTCATTTTCTATTCATCCGGACAACAATTTTCTTTTTATTTTCTCTTGAAGACATTTTCTCTTTATTTTCTCTTCTCACCGATTTCTTTCTTCTCAATTTCTCTCCTTTCATTTTCCCTTCTAATCCAAACAATGCATAAAGGTTCCACAATTGTTTCTTCCAATGTGTTTAATAATCTCTTAGGGCCTACTTCGTATTTGAGAAATTTTAGAAGTAATAGTATTATACACTGAGGAAGTATGATACCAAGGCCGGTCCTAAGACTTCAACGGCCTGGGCCGAGACAGGAAAAAAAGGCCTTAGAAGTCTTATCCCTAATTCCCTGGTGTAAACAATTAAAATATGTAAACTATTTATATTTAAATGACAATTAACCCAATAGTATTAAAAGAAAATAAATAAATGACAAAATCATAGTAGTTTAATTACATAGTGTAAAAGCTAGCCGAGAATTCGTAACGTTCTCCTTGCATTTTTTAGAGCAAATTGGTTGATACATCTTAGTGAAATCAAATACACAAATACAAACTTTAAAGTTCCAAAAAAAAACAGATATTCATATTACTAAATTAATAGAATTTCAGATTTTCACAACAAATTTCATAACAATTAGCAAAAATTTCAAATAAAGATTCCAATTTTTCACATGACAAATTCATATAACAAATTTTCAAATTCACATAAAAAACGCATGACAAATTCATAACACAAATTTATAAAGATTAAAGATTTTTCATATTTACGCATATTAAAGAAATTCTGAAACTAGTATTTTTTACCTCCGTACCTGGACCTGGAGGCTGGAGAGGTTCCGGCGAGGCGGCGTCTAGCGGGCAGCGGCTAGACTCTGCAGCAGGGGAGCGTGCAGGCGGGCGTCGGCGTCTCTCTCGACGACTTCAATTTCCGTTCGTACTTGGGTTTGGGCGTTTGGCTTCGGAACGGAAATAGGAGGGCTAGGGAGTTTTGGGCTTTGGCTGGGCTGGGCTGGGCTGGGCTTCAATATATGTATATAATATTTAAAAAATTAGGCCCCTTAAATTGTTGCCCGACCCGATCGGACTGCTTGTCCCCAATGGGCCGGCCCTGTTAATGATACACGGAGTATATTATGAAATTTTAAAAGATTTAGGGTCTGTTTGGTACACGGAATTGATGGATTTGGAATTGAATTGGAATTAAAATTTCATGTGATTCAATTTCATAGAATTGAATTCACCAATTCCAATTCATTTTTTGCACTACCAATTCCAAATCCACATAGTTTTTGTGCTACCAAACACGAGAATTGGAATTGAAGTCCTCAATTCCAATTCCATGGTTTGGTATGCAGAATTGATGGAATTGGAATTGAATTAGGATTGAAATTCTATGAGGGAGATTCAATTCCATAGAATTGAATTCACTTATTCCAATTCATTTTTTGCACTATCAATTTCAAATCCACATTATTTTTGTACTACCAAACACCAGAACTGAAATTGAAATCTTCAATTTCAATTTCATAGTTCGAATTTCGTGTACGAAACGGGGCCTTATATGAATCTGAAATTATATATCACAAATAATAATTCAAATAATCACGTATCATATACAGACCTGGGCAAAAGGTGGAGCCGGGGTGGAGGCGAGTGCGGGAGCTGGGCTGACCGGCGGAGGGTGGCGGCGGAGCTAGGTTTTATTGCTTTGGCAGCGAGGCTGAATCTAACAATTAGCGAAGAAGGGAAATGTGGGAAAATGAAATATGGAGTACCTTAGAAAATTAGGGTACCAAGGCTCCATTCCGTTCAACTTATTTTTTCTGATCTGATCTGATTCTAATAAGTTCTAATCTGATCTGATCTGATTGGATCTGATCTGATCTAATCTGATCTGATTGGATCTGATCTGATCTGATCTGATTGGATCTGATCTGATCTGATTGGATTTGATCTGGTCTGGTCTGATTAATTATGATTTAATTTAAATTTTCAAATCAATTATTTGATTTGACTTTATAATAACGTTTGAAAATTGTAATGATAATTTATATTATAACATAATCAATATTTTTTATTTAATGATTATTTTTAATAAAATAAAAATAGTTAATTCATATATTAGAATAATAATTCATATTATAATGTAATAATATTTTTTATTTTATGATTATTTTTTGTGAAATTAGAATATTAATTTAATATTTTAATAATTACTTCACATATACATTAGAATAAATATTTAATTTAGATATACATTAAAAAGTAATTAAATTTAGATAATCAATATATAGAAGAGATAGTATTTTTATTAAAATATCTCATCCTTATAAAAGATCAAAACTTTAGAAACTCAAATTACAAGTAACAATAAAAATATATTTTAAAAGTAGAATTAGATTGACATTGTCAATATCTCATCCTTATAAAAGATTAACAACAACAACAACAACAACAACAACAACAACAACAACAATAATAATAATAATAATAATAATTCTTGATGGGATATGATTTTAATAAGTCCTGATCTGATCTGATCTGATTGGATTTGATCTGATCTGATTGGATCTGATCTGATCTGATTGGATCTGATTCGATCTGATCTGATCTGGTCTGATCTGATATGATCTGATCTGATTTTAATAAGAATAAGAAAAAATAAGGAAAAATAACTTGAACGGAACGGGGCCCAAAACGACTTCTCGTTTGGAAAAGAAAACAAAGGCTCCCCGTGGTTTCGACTTTCGAACCCTTAAACTCCTTAAATCCCTCTCATTTGAAATTTCAAGTTTAATTGTCTTTTTAAATTTTAAAGCTCTATTTGTTCATCACTTGACATTATTTCTCTTTCTAGACATTATTAAATACTAGTAAAAGAATTAAATAAATTAAGTATGGAGTATTATTTAAAGAAATTACTTACGTTTTAGTACGGAGTACTATTTAGTGCATATATTTCTACAAAGTCTTTATATTTTACTTTCTTTCATTCTTACTTTCCCTATGGAGGATAAATAGCTTCCCAAGAAGATTGACTAGCTCTGGTCAACCAAACAAGGCACTCTCCGTGGACCGTGGCACATTTGTGATCTATTTAGAAATCATAATGACTTTACAAATAACTTTTAAAAATAGAAAAGATTTTGACACATTTTTTGTAAGCCACATGGAGCACGTATGTTATTAGCATGTTAAGGTATTGGTAAAAAATTACTCCAACTGATAAAAAACAAGAAATCATCTAAATCAGAGTAAAATATAGGGAAAATATCAAAATAAAAGCTTCATATTTTTATTTTCTAAATAGAACTTCGTAATGTGGTAATGTGGCGCTGTATATTTACATTTTACTATACTTTTTGATAATATACATGATCATGATTGGCAATATAAATACATTTTAAAAACTATTTTTGAGAATAAAAAATAGAACTTCTATTATGATATATTTTCAATGTTTACTTCTACTTTAAATTTTTTTCCATAAAAAATCTCAAATCTCTTTATAAGCCCATACAAAGTGTGAGAAGTCTCATGTAGAGTGTAGACATCAAGACTAAAGAAGTACAACTCAAAAAATTAAGTAAATTAAATATTAAATTTTAAAAATGGTTTTTGTAATAAGTTTTAATTACCTATGTTGTTCTTTATAATTGAGATTTATTCTTAAGTAGTTTTTCGTTAATAATGTTATTTAAATGATGATTAACTAAAAGATATTTTAGTATTTTTATAATCTAAATTTAAAGTATATATATTCTTTTAAAAAATAATCTATATACAATTAAATATAAAATTTAAAAAAGATATTGACTATACATAATTTATGAATTATTAAAAAACTATAAAAATCTTTTAACATTTGACTCAAATAAACTTCTTTAACTAGAAAAAGTATATTAGAAAAGCACTTCATTTGAAATAATCATTTTAAAATTTATTCTAAATGTAGTTGATAAAAGATATAAAAATATTCTTCAATTAATCTTCGAGTAAAAAAGATTATTTATAAAAGACTATCTAAAAAATAAATTTTAGGCAAGTAAAAGTTATGATACCCATTATGCGTTATGAGCCTTGACCGACTTTATTTTTTATTCGATTTAATTGATTATAAGAGTAAAATTTTAAAATAAAATTTATATAATAATAAATTACATGAAAAATTCTACAAAATTAGAGGTGACAAGAGTATATTATTTTATGAAATGACTAGTAAAAATGAACAAACAGAGTGAATAAAGTTTGATTCTGACTGAGAAATCTATAGTGGACAGAGGGAATATGACAAAATGCGTGGTTAGAGAGGATCAATTTAGAAATTTATTTAAATTAAATTGGACATTATACGATAAGGTAAGTACGTTATAGGGAACAGTAATCAGTAATCTTCTTCACTGTATCTAAAAGAGATCCTTTTCACCTTCCCAACTCAAATCCATCTTTCTCCCGTCACTCCACTGCTGTAAACTTTTATTCCTCTCCCATAGTCCCATCTATTTATTACCCTTTTCTTTTATTTAAATCCAATTAATTCTCTTTTTACCCGTGCTTAAAATCCACAGCCATGAACGGCCACCGCGGCAAGGAGAAGCTGGTGGTGGAGGTGGCGGCGGCGCACAACCTCATGCCGAAAGACGGCGAGGGCTCGTCGTCCGCATTTGTGGAGGTCAAGTTCGAGAACCAGACCCGGAGGACTCAAGTGAAGCACAGGGACTTGAACCCGGTCTGGAACGAGAAGCTCGTGTTCTGCGTAAACGACGTCGCCGGCCTCCCTTACCGGACGGTCGAAGTCAACGTTTTCAACGAGCGGAAGTCCAACAGCACCCGCAATTTCCTCGGCCGGGTCTGGGTTTCCGGGTCGACCGTTGCCCGGGAAGGCGAAGCCGCTGCCCAGATTTTCACGCTCGAGAAGAGGACCGTCTTCTCCCACGTCCGCGGCGAGATTAGCCTCAAGCTTTACATTTCTACCATGGAGAAGGAGGAAGAAGAGGAAGTCAAACAGGTCATTAGCGCCGGCGCCGGAGGAGCGGTGGCTTCATCCGCGCCCACGCCGAAATCCAAGAAAAACAAGAAAGTGCAGGGGAAAAACACGGTTCTTCCGGTGCACCAGGAGAACAAACCGAACCCGGCGAAGCAGGTGGAGCCCAGTCAGCCTGTCGTTGTAGCCTCCGTCCCCGGCGCCGCCGTGTGCGGCGGAGCAATGGCGGGTCCTTATTCTGCCGCCGGACGGAACGTTACAAGCCCTCAACTGGGCGGCGGGCTGACCCTGAAGCTAGACAAGACGAGCGCAACCTACGACCTGGTGGAGCAAATGCAGTACCTCTACATCAAGGTGGTCAAAGCACGGTTTGACTTCGCCGGCGGCGAGCTCGTCGCCGAAGCCAAGCTCGGAAACTACAGGGGAATCACGAAGAAGGCCCCCGCAAATCTCCCGGTGTGGGACCAGGTCTTCGCCTTCTCCAAAGACTCAATTCAATCCTCGTTCGTGGAAGTCTACGTGAGGGAAATCAACAGAGACGATTTCTTAGGGCGCGTTTGGTTCGACTTGAATGAGATCCCCCGGAGGGTGCCGCCGGACAGCCAGTTAGCCCCGCAGTGGTACAGAATGGAGGGCAAAACAGGGGACGACAAATCCAAAGCAGGGGAAGTCATGGTCGCCGCCTGGTTCGGGACCCAAGCTGACGAGGCATTTGCCGAGGCTTGGCATTCCAAGTCAGCAAATGTAGGGTCGGATGGTCTCAGCTCTATAAAGTCTAAGGTCTATCTGTCCCCCAAGCTTTGGTATTTGAGGGTTGGAGTCCTAGAAGCCCAAGACATTGTTGCCCCATCATGTGACAAAGGGTCCTCTTTACTCCGGTATCCCGACCTTTTCGTGAAGGTTCAGGTCGGGAACCAGGTGCTGAGGACCCGAGTCTCCAAAACCTTTTCGTGGAACGAGGACTTGATGTTTGTGGTTGGGGAGCCGTTTGAGGATCTTGTAATCGTCTCGGTGGAGGACCGTGTGTCCCCACACAAGGACGAGGTTGTCGGGAGGCTGGTTTTGCCCGTCTCGGGGCTCGAGAGACGGGCAAACGAGAAGCCCGTGGCCCCCATGTGGTTTAACCTCGACACCAATTTCAACAACAATAATAATCAGAGCGGTCTTTCGAAGCCCGTGAGGTTCGCGCCTCGCGTTCGCCTCCGGGCTTCGTTGGACGGAGGGTATCATGTGCTGGACGAGTCGACAGCGTACAGTAGCGACCTCCGCCCGACCGCGAAACAGCTTTGGAAGCCTCGCGTTGGGGTTCTCGAGGTCGGGTTCTTGGGCGCCGCGAATCTCGTCCCCATGAAGATGAAACAGGGAACAAGGGGATCGACTGATTCGTACTGCGTGGCCAAGTATGGTCAGAAGTGGATCCGAACCCGGACCGTCGTCGACAGCTTGGCGCCCAAATGGAACGAGCAGTACACGTGGGAGGTTTTCGACCCTTGCACGGTCATCACCATCGCCGTGTTCGACAATTCCCGGGTCCTGACCTCTTCCTCCACGGGTACCGTTCCCGATCTGCGGATCGGGAAGGTCAGGATCAGGCTCTCGACTCTCGAGACGGATAGAGTGTACCCTCTCACCTACCCGCTCCTCATGTTACACCCGTCGGGTGTGAAGAAGATGGGCGAGCTAAGCTTGGCGGTCCGGTTTTCGTGTGGTAATAATATGGTTAACATGCTTCACATGTACGCATTGCCGTTACTCCCGAAGATGCATTACGTGCAGCCGTTGACGGTGAGTCAACTCGACGGGTTGAGGTATCAGGCCATGAGCGTGGTGGCAGGGAGGCTGAGCAGGGCGGAGCCGCCTTTGGGGAGGGAAGTTGTTGAGTACATGCTGGATCATGACAGCCAAATGTGGAGCATGAGGAAGAGCAAGGCTAACTTCTTAAGGCTAATCAGTGTCCTAACCTGGGCTGTCAACATGTGCCGGTGGTTCGAGTCGGTACGGAACTGGAACAAACCGGTTCACTCGGCCGGTTTCTCGATCGCCTTCTTTGTCGCCGTCCTTGTCCCCGAGCTCGTGATCCCTTGCGTGTTCCTCTTCATGGCCGCCGTGGGGCTCTGGCGGTACAGGTGGCGCCCGCGGGCCCCGCCCCGCATGGACACGAGGCGGTCGTGCGCGGAGAACGTCGAGCCGGACGAGCTCGACGAGGAGTTCGACTTCTTCCCGAGTGCACGGGCCCCGGAGGTTGTCCGGTTGAGGTACGACCGGTTGAGGAGCGTGGCGGGGAGGATCCAGACGGTGGTCGGTGACGTGGCGATGCAGGCGGAGAGGTTCCAGGCGTTGCTGAGCTGGCGCGACCCGAGGGCTACGTTCCTGTTCGTGGTGTTTTGCTTCCTGGCGGCGTTGGGGTTCTACATGGTGCCGTTCCGGCTGGTCGTGGCGGCGTGGGGGGTTTACGTGTTGAGGCCACCCAAGTTCAGGAACAGGTTGCCGTCTTGTGCCGTCAGTTTCTTCAAGAGGTTGCCCACCAGAGCTGATAGTCTTCTGCTATGAAGAATCAAATCAGCTTTCTCTTTGGTTGGCAGGGCAGACTAGGATTATGTAATTTGGGAAATTAGATAGCTTTTGTTTGATGTGGGCAATGTTAAAGTCTGTTCTTTTTTGGGAAACATTGGCGTAGGAGCTGTCTTTTTGTAACCTTTGTTGTGTCATCAAGACATGCTGGTTCTGTTTTTCTTCTATTTTTAGCTTTTGTTGCAATCTTGATGTGATTTTACTGCTTTTGCTCTTATAACTATTTAGGTCACACCATTGTTATTTTTTTTTTAAGCCAAGGTTACCCCATGGTCCTTTTGACAACCATTTTGGTTGTCATAATGACACCCTCTGTTGATCTCTCGGACTGATTCCTATTCCTGTAACCCCTAGAAATAAAGGGTAAGGAACCGCTTTGAGGTCGAATAGAACATAATACCGCCTTCAAATGTCTGGTGTCATATATTATTACGACATCAAAAGTGAGTTAAAAGATCCACAATTGCGCTATTCGGATTTCATGTCATTTACACAGAGTATAGTAATAGTAATAGTATTTCCTTTGCCAGTTTCGACATTGTATAGTAATAGTAACAAAGTTTACAAACATTGCAAGAGAAAATAATACTCTTGGGAGGCCTAAACTAGAAAAGGTGCAAGGCGAAGGTCATCACGGCAGGGGAGGCCGGCTCTGGCGCCTAAGGCTCTGCAACTGATAGCGGCCTGCAAACCATCTTTCCCATTTACTCAGTATAAAATAGGGTGTTGCTATATCCACGCCCGTTTTGGCTACCCTTTATGTTAAATAGACAACTTTAATTTGTCCTTAAAAATACAAAGAAAACATATTGCATGTAAGCCAATGTTTAAGGGCATGGTTGTCCATCAACCATATAAGAAGTGGATTTAGCCAAAAGGGATGTGGATTTATATAAAAAGAACCCCAAAATGCCAACACCGGGAAAAGAAGAAGATGAAAGTAGTAACTGACCACTTGAGCAGCAAATGGCAGCATCTTCTCCGGTGGCATTTCAGCACAGATTGCTGCACGGAGTTTATGGAAAATTTGTTAGTCTCTTTCTTGATGAGATAAACATCTCCTCTGTATGAACAAATGTAATTTTACAGGACATACAGTAAAGGATTGCCCCGATAAATGCATCCCCAGCACCCGTTGTATCGGCTAGTTCCGAAGATGGTATCTTTTCGGCTGTTCCCACAAGTAGTCTCCCACTCACTGTTCCTATTCCCTTGGCTTCCAATTTTGCAGGGCGCTGTGTATGCTTGCATGTGCACAAGGAGAGTGAACAAAGTACAGATAATATCAATGGTATACCTAACACCTTCCCCTATGAGGTGATTATTACCCGGGTCATGCTATAGACACACCACAAATGACACCAAGGTTGATACTGCTACAATGAACGTCAGCGTGGGATAAATCTATAGGCACGCCACCATTTTGATGCCATGTTTCACAGTGATCGAGACAATGATTATCCAAATAAGTCTGTGAAACACATAGTCTCAAACTTTGGTGTGACTAGCATAGTCCCTAACTCCCTATGTCTTCAGTGTGTCAACATTGATGTCATCCTTGGAGTTAAAATAGAGCATGTTCCTTATTGCTCTAGTACTCCGTATTAATTTTACAAAATAAACCACCGGAAATATAATGGGATCCCACATTTTTTTAATACAAACGGCCATATTAATTTCGTCTTTCAATGATGAAACGATCCTTTAAATGCAAGGACAAAAACCCCAACATAATCCCAATTATGTTTGGGATTTGAGGGCAGTGAGGGGTTAAGATGTGCGCAAACTTACCCCTGAAGAAATAAATAAAAAAACTTATTTCATTCAGACCCGTGAGGGTTCATTTACACAAAACTTTATTGAAAGAAGCTAAGAAAATACAATGGGTATTTTCAATTAGGTACAATATTTACTCAAAGCTAAAACATTGTCAATAATGCTTTTTGAGCTCCATCGGTAATGAACCCAACAAAACAATTGTTCAAATGGAAGATAAAATTACCGATGGTATGCATGTGGGCATGGTTAGATTGGCATCCTTCTTTTGCTTGAGTATTTCATACAAGTCGTTTACATCTATTTCTTCAGCTTGGGCGGACTCTGAAAAAGTGTTTTAACAAAAATCGTGGTTATTAATTGTGTGGTATTATCTAATTGAACCATAGCCATTTGTTTTAAAGTTATCTTTGTCTATAAGAATGTACTTTCAAAATTATGATAGAAAGAAGGCACAAGGCGTATGTTTTACCAGGTTCAGTCCTTTCTAGCATGATGCAACCCTCATCACCCAATGTCACAACAACAAATTTCACATTTGGCAACCTCAGAAGCATGGAAACAAGTGCGCTTGGAAGAGTAGGGGCCTCGGCCCATGCCTGTAAAAGACAATACACATTTTATTGACCTTTGACGAGCACGCCACGACAAACAGAGAGGGAGAGCCTATCTAATTATGTGTAATTTTTATGAAAGTCAAATTGATATGGGATTCCATGGTTTACATCTTTTCTTTCTCCCCTCCATAATTCTCAAATACTCAAATTTATCTTTCTTAATAATTGCGTCTGGTCCAATGTGAAACCTTAATTGGAAATGCAAAAGCTTGCCTGTGGAAACTTTGTTGAGCATACAACATAATTAGCAAAGCTCAAAAGTCCATCAAGCCCTTCCCTTATCCTTTCTGCATCAACTAAGATTGGTATGCACCTACAACTTGCCTGTACTGAAATCCAAAATGCATGCAACTTACTTCTATTTTGACACTGACATTCATATAATAGCAACAAAAAAATGACATTAAATCAGCATACACACACACACACACACACACACACATTCTCAAGAAAAGAAAAAAAGACTTAGTAAGCTACAAAACAAAATGAGCAAGATACATATACAGATAGTGTAATATCAAGTACCTCCTTTGCCACAACCAATGCTGTTTCATGCAATCTCCCATCAAAATAGACAACTCTAGCTCTATCAATAGCAGACATCAAATTTGATTGGGATAGGTCTTCTGGTACCATGGGAGGGTCCCCTGGAGTGTGTATGCAAGTTCGAGTTTTCCTGAAATATCACAAAAGACTTTTCTTCACACAATACAACATGCAAAGTGAAATCTCACCTTTCCTGTAATTATAAGGATAAGTTGAAACAAAAAGATACAAATGTCAAAGTTATCAATCTAGTGTCATAGTGGAATTGCGAGGATTTTTTTTTTTAGAACAACCCAGTAGAATCCTACAAAAGTAGGGTCTGGGGAAGGTGTGTGTACACACATCTTACCCCTACTTGACCGTATCACAATATTCAAAGGGAGGATTAGCAACTCATACTAGAATGTAAAATGGCAACATCTCTTAAAGCAATTCATATTACCCTTCAAGGACAGCAATATACTCCCTCTGTCCAACTAATCATAAAGCAATTCATATTACCCTTCAAGGACAGCAATATACTCCCTCTGTCCAACTAATCATTTCACACTTTCTTTATTTGGAAGTCCCAAAAAAAACTTAACATTTCTCCTGTTTCTTGTTAAGGAAAGAGGAATATATGTGTCACAATACTTCTCTCTTCTAGAGATAATTCCAACCACATACTTACACTTTTCAACATTTCTTTTGAACTCCGTCAAGTCAAAGATTGAAGTTCCTTATGTTATGGAGGGAGTAGCATCTAGCAATCTACCATGTGCACTACGTTAAGGTTATGTTTGGTGTAAATTTCAAAGAGGAAAAGATGCTTATTTTACTGGCTCGATTAACAAAACGCCTTTTTGTTTGTTTGAAGGAACACTTACGGTTGAAGGAAAAACAATTTTACACAACTCCCAAAAACTCGGAATAAATGGAAAATTTGATTCATTTTAATTGACAACAACACCCAATAACATTTTGTCGAAAAAATCCACTCATTAGGTGCTTATTTTATACTCCGTAAATGATATTCCAATACGCTCTTATATAAGCTACCAAATACAAATTAATCACTTTGCTAATAGATCTTCGAATAAAATCCTATCATTTTCTACCTTTAGGAGTAAATCCTTTTTTTTTCAAAAAAAAAATCCTATCATAGCCTCAAACAATCTTGAACTTAAATGAAAGATGGATAGCTATTAAAACAGAAGCCAATACACTCACATTTTGTTATCAACAATGACATAGGTGAATGGTGAATTGCCTCTGTTGGATACCTAAAACGAAAAATCCCAGCATCATGGTTTTGCAATGTCTTCATTAATAAAAATCTGAAGTTTTTACTATAATGTGAAACATCAATATTCGTACTATAAAGCTTACCACCCTAAAATATGAACCTTTGTACTAGGGAGCTTACCACCATAAACGAGGTGTCAACACCATCCTCATCTAGTTCATCCAATATTCCCTTGCCTTGTAAATCATTAGCAACCTATTCAATAAAGTCATAATTCATGGCGCCATGGTAAAGTGGCTTGGAAGTTCAGTGGTGAAGAGGAAGAATGAATCTTCCTAAACCAATTCCTAGTACACTATCCCCAAAAATACCGAAACACATCGCGATGACCTGAAATGATTCAGTCCACTTGTTGTATACGAAGGGGTTGCTCGTTCGCTTAAAAATTAGTATCAAGAACCTAACTCTACAAGTCTACAACACATCAAAGCCAGACCTACTAAAAGTAATCCATTGCAACCATAGTAATCCAGAGATGCAGGTAATGGATTGACTACTACCAATAAATGCTCAGAAGACGTATTCTACTGAGCAGAAGATAATGGCAAACCACTACTGTTCTATTAGTTCTAAAATCAATTAAGGGAAAATGCTCAAGTAAAGATCAAGTAGAAATATTTCAATTCGACGAACATTGGACCTTGGAAATGATCCTTGGATTAAGTCCTAGCCGAGCTGCGCAAGTCAAAGCATTCCCAGTGTTGCCACCTCCTTGGACCTATCATCAATTCACACACAAGTTCAGCTTTCATCCACAAATGACAACAAAAGTCAAAAACACCAGAGTTCAAAGGTATAATCATCACCGGCACCAAAATTGTCTAATAGGGAGATCAAAACCTGAAAGCTGGTGGTTCGAATTTTATCATCTGGCTTAGGATAGGAAGCCACAGCAGCCAAGAAGTCCACCCCCACACTTCCAACACCCAACTGCCCACCAGAACCACACAAAAGCAAAAAAGCTGAGATTTTTTATATTTCTATGGCGAAATAGAAACATAAAAATAAGGATTTATATCGATTGAAAGAGGGCCTGAGAGCGACGCACAACAATGCGATTTTCGGGTAGCGGTGGAATTGACATTTCCAACTTTGAAGCTCTGTCGTCGTTTGAGCAAAGTATAAAGTGAGCTCGACAATGCAAAAAAAAAAAAAAAAAAAAAACAAGCAGTAAAAAGATGCTACGATGATCGCCGAAAGAGATTGTATAACCTTGCACGAGAAAGACTGGAACTTGTATAGGACGGCGAAAGGATCGACGAGTTCCTCCGTGAGCCACCGGCAAGGGAGGTGGCGGGTCGGTGATAATGTCCTCCGGACGTCTTCATTTCTGAGGGCAGGGTTAACTGACACGTGATGTGAATAAAATAGGCTAAAGCCATGAAAGTTGCACACAAATGACAAAACTAATAATGTGAATATAAAATACTCCTTCCGTCCCAAAATATTTATAACATTTATTTTTTTAGCAGTCGGAAGAACTTTTGTTTATTTCTACGTTTTCATTTGTTATTTGATAAAATAAAATATTCTTGACACATCTTATTTCGAAAAACTTTTTATGTAGTTTTATGATATGTAAATTTTATTTTTATTTCTATATCAATATCTAAATAAAATAAATTAAAAAAACTTGATATTTTACCTCGGGAATACAAGTGTTGCATATATTTAGGGAAGGATGGAGTATGAAAAAGTATCTGAAATAGTCTACATTTTCATGCTTCTCAAATTTAATGTTACCTTTAACTATCATTCTAAATATGTGCGAGTTTTGGGTCGTCGTTAAAAATTTTACGACAACTTAAATTATTTTTTTTAGAAATGCTTATCTTGTACAAATAAATGAAAAGTGAGATTATTTAAAATAAATTATCTTTTTCAATTTTTTTTTGTAAATTTTAATTTTTGAAATTACTTATTTGAGATTATTAATTCTTTTTTATTTCTTATTAAAATGGAAGGGGCTCAAGGATACCACCCACGCACCAGTCAATGCTGCATTGTTATCTCATTTCTATCTTCAAATCAAGTACCCATAAGCCACATAATCATTCGCAGCACATAACCAAAATACACTAGAACTTTTTTTAATTTAAAATATATATAGTAAATGATTAACTGTAATTAATGGTAAAATTCCATTAAAATTAAAACACTTACTCCGTACAATTCCATTGAAATTAAAAATATTAACCATTGAAGGTTTGAGTAAATAAAAATGGCGAAAGCTTGAATAAATAAAAATAGTGGAAGGTTAGGTTGGGTGAATAAAAGTGGCAAAAGGAAGGGTATGTGGTATTATTTATGCATAATAAATAGAGGAATGTACCTAAATGTGACTAAAACATAATGACTTTATCAATATATGACTATATGTTTTTATTTCTCAATGTAGGACCATTAGTCATTATCCATTAATCATTATTCAAGTAAATGTCAACTATCGCTGGACATTATTCCTTCTACTAGACATTATTAAATACTATTTAGAGAATAAAAAAATAAAGTCCTACATTGAAAATAATTTATGCTTTAGTCTTATTTAGTGCAAATTTTTCTAATAAATAATGTGTAATAAGTTCATTATTCTCCTAAAATGTGTTCATAATAACAAGTTCATAATAAATAATGTGTAATAAGTTCATAATAACAAATTATTATTTAATTAGTTGAAATTCAAAAAACTAAAAAAATTAAATCAACGGCGAAACAAACCGGCTGCAAATGGAACCCATTGTTGTCATTAATGTACATTGGCTGTGTACATTAACATTATGATGTTGATAATGGTTTGTGCTTCAACCTCCTGAGTTAATTTTTGAGATTGAATTGTGTCCAAGTATATCGGTTCACATGGTATCGGAACTAAGGTCTTAAATGTTTGAGGCACCCAAAGTTATTGGTGTCTCGTGTGAGGGGTGGGGGGCGGGGGTACTAAGTTATACTCATCCTACATCAGCTATATATACTTTATTAGTGCTATTGGTTCTACTAAAATATAGTATCTGTTCACACTATTCTCAGCATAATAATACATAAAGACTCAACACATCTGCTTTTGTTGGAATCCAAACATCGGTGAACTTTTTCATAAATCTTAGAGAGTGTGCTTCTTACCACTCAAGTCAGGAGAGGAATTTCATCGACTGTGTATACTAATATTAAGGGTTTTATGCTGATTTGGGTGCCTCAAACTCCTCGAGTTAACTTTGGGTATAAGCGTCTGATAATTTGTACTCCGTATATACGTATAATCTTTTGCTTAATTTATTTCGTGTGCTTGCAAACTAATGCAAATATACTTGAAGCAAAGTTTTGCAAGTGTTTTATCTTACTCGAGCAAAATTCATGTTAAGCTTAATCAATTTTGTTGTAATAACTGGGTAGCGGTAAAACACTATAGACAATCCATGAATACAGATGTCATATGCCTCGTGCATTACTCAAACGCATTGAAAATTGAAAATAATGATTATAAAGATCACATAAACCTCATATGAGAGTGGTTGGAGGTAATTGTGGAAAAGGTACTCCTACAATTCACAATAATTGTCTATTAAAAATTATTAGATACATTAAGTTTTGAACGAATGCATAATTAAGTATATCTATATTCATTCAGAATCTAATGTATCTAATAAACTTTAATAGACAATTATTGTATAATGAAGGACAATGAAACAACTACAATAGCTAATTATGTGTGAAAGATCACTCATAAGTGTCACATGTTAATAACAACACCTAATATTGAGTCGTTGACACATCATTGTTACCTATAAATTAAATACTTGTCTAATCGTTCATTTAAAAGATCCAAATTTTAAGGTTAACCTTAGTAGCATTATTATTCCTATTTGTTTTTTACAAAGAGTTTAAGAAAGGTTAAATTGATTGAAATTTAATTTGGGCAGAGAGGAGATGATTGAGATACAATTTTGTTTTTGTAAAAGAAATTGAGAATGTAAATCATGATACAAAAAAAGAAGATAAAAAATGGATAGAAAAATAGTAATTACACCGCGTGTTCTGACTTCGATATTTTTGTCTCCTCGAATGGTTTGGTAATAATTTTAAGACTTAAGACTTGTTTGGTGAGTTTTAGAAATATGATATAAATTTTGACACTTTGGAAAAAATGATATGAATTTTGAAATATGAAATAAATCATTTTGGAGATATTTAAATCTTGATTTAATTAGTGACCGGTGAAGGGTGAACGACAATGTGGGTGATTGACGGTTGAGTATATATCAATATCTGATATTAATATCTTTCAAATTCGGAATATATGGAAATCCATCATTCAAATAATTTTTTTATATCTAAAAGTACCATATTCAAATTCTTTTTATATCTTACCAAATACCAACAAAGAAATCAAATACTAGACTAGTCAATAACATGTTATGTTACGTTTTTTTCAACTTATTTCTATCACTTATTATTTTCTTTTATGTGAATCAAGTCAAATCAAATAAAAAAAGCATTAAATATAATTATATACTCCCTCTGTCCACAAATAAACTTTACGTTCACTATTCACAGAGTTAAACTGTATTCATTTTGTTAGCCTATTTTCGTCACCCATTTGATAAAATAATATAGTCATGTCACTTCTAGTTTTTTAGATCTTTTGATATAGTTTTTAAATATGTAATTTTTATTTTTTAATTCTACACCATTTTTTATATAAAATGATTGGAAAATAACTTCAATCAGACATCGTAACGCGTAATGTAAGGGAGTATTAACAATTTCTCCTTCCGTCCCTAAATAGATTACAATCTTTTTTTCTCTCTCCTCTTGATAACTTTTGTTTGTTTACGCGATTTCATTAAGTATTTGATAAAATAAAATATTCTTGTCACCTCTTGTTTTGTAGAATTTTTGACGTAGTTTTTTAATATGTAATTTTTATATCTTATTGATATACCAATTTGTAAATAAAATGATTTTAAAAAGTAGAAAATTTTATTCCATAACCCGCAATTTGTAATCAAATTGGGGACGGAGTGATTAAAAGACTTGAGGTTCTTGAAGTGTTGAAGGGAGCATGGCGGCGTGATCACTAACTAAACCCAGGAGGCAAGCCCGGGGCGAGACAGGGCGCCGTATAGAGAGCGGTCAGCCCCCGTTGCGATCAATCCACGTGGCTCGTAGTCAGGCGGACACCAGTATTTGTCTTTCGTCTCCTTTCATCGGCTCTTCAAATGCATTCGCTTCCGGTTTCTTCACAGTCTCCTAAGCACATCTCGTTTAACGGGCGCCATGAACTTCGTCGGAAAACTCATTTCCTCCTCGAATTGCCGCCTTTGAAGTCAAGCTTCTGCTGAAATTTCCACCCTTTTGCCAGTAATTTTTCCTTTTTCTCGGATTCATCTCTGTTTTCCCGTTTTTTTTATAAAGAAATTTGTTCTTCTTCAGATTAACTCCATTGATTTATAGCTTCCGTTTCGATTCTTGAGTGTCATTGTTCCAAAACAGAGTCTTTTAATGGATTTCTGAATTCGATTTCTTTTGCGAATGGGTGTGCGCCATTGATTTTAAAGCAGGCATCACCTGATAGGTGTTTGTTCGATGGACTGTTCGGAGGAGAAATTGGGGGAGAAGAGACTGATCAAGAAACGCGAACTGGTTAGGCTCATCATTCAGTCTCTCTATTCACTAGGCTATAGGAAGTCCGGGGAGTGTTTAGAATCCGAGTCTGGAATTTCTTGCAAATCGGCTGAGTTTGGAGCTCTCGAGTCGAAAGTTGTGGATGCAAATTGGGATGGATGTTTCGAGCTCATTAATGGGCTAGAGGGCTTAGCTGATGAGCAGAGAGCTTCGGCTGTAGTCCTTGTTCTTCAGCAGTGTTTGCTAGAATGCTTGAAAAATGGGGATGATTCTGCAGCATTGAAGCTGTTAAGGAAACAGATTGCTCGCTTAAAAGTTGGGAAAGAGAATGTTTCTAGACTTGCTTATGAGTTAATCTCTCCCAAGGAATCGGGGACGGGTTTAGTGTCAAACATGAGGGAGAAACTCGTGACGGAACTCGAAAATGTGCTTCCACCTCCCATCACATTGCCTCCAAGACGGTTAGAACGTTTGGTTGAAATGGCTATCAGTTCTCAGATCGATAGCTGTATTTACCATAGCATTTCTTCTGTTTCACTTTATGAAGATCACCATTGTGACCATGCTCAGTTTCCTACGAGGACTTCTCAGGTGTGTCCGTGTTGGTTTCTAATTTCATTTCTGACTTTATAAATTACAACAACAATGACAACACATATCATTGAATACTTCGAGTAAAATCGTGTTATGCATTGGATTATCATGCACCTTTTAATATAGACGCA